GGGGGTGCCCTTCTGTGGCTTTCTGGGGAGGCGGGGAATGGGGAGGGGGAAAGGGTTGAGGGCCAAACAAGGCAGGAGAGTGGGCTTAGGGTCAGCTCGTTTGAATCTTCCCGTGGACTCTGGTGTGTAGGGGGTGCTCAGGGTGGCACTGACCTGGGAGCGAGGGAGCCCATGGGGGTATTGGGGGGCCTGGGAGCGAGGGAGCCGGTAGAGGAGGGGGCGGTGTGGTTTTCAGTTTAATAGACAGGCTCCCTTGGGAGTCCTCTGCTGCCTCTAGGAATTAGCCAGCCCTGCGGAGGGGGGGGTGGTGGCAGAGAGCGGTGGAGGGGGGGCTCCCCTCCAGAGTCAGTGAGTCACCAAATGCCACGGCATCAAGAATATAGAAAAGAAGAAAACGTAGTTAACGCATGAGCCCCCACCGTCTCCCTGACGCACGGGCGAGGGACGGCTGCCCAGTAAGCAGAAGTGACCATCCACGGGGCTGGGCATGGGCGGCCCTGTCTTGCTGCACGAGGTGTGGACGGTGGGTGGGGCATCTGAGCCCTGAGGATGTCAAGCAGCCCGAACGGGGCCCAGTGCCCACCTCTCCTTCCGTCCTGGTCTTCAGAAGCCCCGCGGGCCTTGCCCGATGACGTTCCTGCAGATGGACTGTCCTGAGCCGGGCGCAGGGAGCCCCAGGGGGCGGGAGGCGGGACGCATGTTCCCCAGGCGCCGTGCGGGCCTCTGCCCCATGCCGCCCGTCCCCACGGCGGCTGAGCGGAGGCTGCGCTCTGCAGATCGACTCCTACGAGAGGCTGTACGAGGAGGTGTCCAGGTGTGAGAACACCAAGGTGTTCAGCGGCTGGTTGCAGTGTGACTGCCGCCCCTTCAAGCAGGCCCTGCTCAGCACCATCAAGCGCTGGAGCTTCATGTTCAAGCGCCACCTGAGCAGCCACGTCGTCAGCAGGTGGGTCACACCCGGGGGCCGCCCGCGGACGGCCTCCCGTGGACCCGTGTGGTGTCGGCCGGGCATCTCCCCCAGGACAGGCGTGGGGGCGAAGGGCAGGTTCGGAGGCCGGCGGCCCCAGCAGGAAGGGGACGCCTGGCACGAAGGAGCTTACCAGGAGCGCATGGTGTCTGGATGCCGGACGCCGAGGAAACCTTAGGGGCCTAGAGCCTGGCAGGGAGGCCTGACATGTGACGAATGGACCAGTGACCACGGCTTACGGGTGGCAGTCAGGGCTGTGACAGAGTGTAATTGGGCTGAGGGCCACCCGGGAGACCCCGAAGGCCTCTCTGGGATGTGGCCTTACCCTGGGACTTGCCGATCAGTGTGAAGGGAACTGACGAGGCGTGGGGTGACATGCAGGCGGGGACGCAGCAGGCGTCCTGGGGTGTTACGAGCTCTCCCTCCCTCGGCGGAGCCCTCCCCACAGCCCGCCGCCTCTGATGGCCACAGCCATTCACAGGCTGTCCTCTCGTCCATTAGCCTGAACGACCTGGAAACCTTCATGAACGTCGCCAGGACGGGCTTAAAGAAGCCCCTCAAGGAAGGCGATTATGACGGCCTCGTGGAGGTGATGGGGCATCTGATGAAGGTCAAGGAGAGGCAGGTGGCCACCGACACCATGTTTGAGCCCCTGAAGCAAACCATCGAGCTGCTCAAGACCTACGGGGAGGAGATGCCGGAGGAGACGCACACGAAGCTGCAGGTGGACGGGCTGGGCGCCGGGCGCCATGCTCTGTCTTGGGGGAGGGAGGGGAGGCGACTAGGGACAAGGCCTCAGGCATGGCCTGCAGGCTAGACCTCCCCTTCTAGGCACGGCATCCCCATGGAAGGGGACAGGCGGGACTGGGAGTTCCTCCTTGGATCGAAAATACCTCACGTCCCTTCTCCTGGGTCCCGGTGGACCTAGGGCGTGAGGGATGGTGGACAGAGATCGGGGTTGGCGCTGAGGCGATTTGGGGCCACGGCAGTGGACGAGAGAGGGGCCACCCTCCACTCCCAAAGGGCAGTGGGGCCGCTGCTCTGGAAATTCCCAGCCCAGAAGACCCCAGCCAGCTCCTGTGTCCTCGAGGGACGAACAGGCCCCCGCAGCAAGGCCGTGGAGGGAACAGGGCTTGAAGCCACCTTTGGCCCGCAGTTTGCACTTAACCTGGAAACTGTCAGCTGCCAGAGCCAAAACGCTGGCCGGGGGCGGGGGATGGGAGTGGGGGCCCCGAAGCCACTGCCTGGAGTGTCAGTCCCCTCCTGGATCCTGCTGTCTCTCCTTCTCTCCCCTGTCCTCCTGGCTCTGTGTCCAGTCACACAGGGTCCCTCCCGCTGCCGGTAGGCGCTGACTCCAGCCAGTGCCCAAGACCGCACGGGAGAGGGCTGACCAGATTCGGGGTCGAAGCGGGAAGGAGCGGGAAGGCTGGGGCGACGCCAGCTGCTGGTTGTGTTTTGACCCCAAACGAGGGCTCACAGGGCCCGGCTGAGGACGGGGGTCTGAAGTGTGTGCGGTCAGTCCCCAGGGCTCAGGCCCATGCAGGGGCCACGTGACGTCATGTGAGGCGCCACTGCCGAGAGAATCCGTTAGTTAACCCCGGAAGGACGCGAAACCACGCCCACCTGTGGGCACGGAATCCGTGCGCTGGGATTTTTTTCCTTTAAAATACTTTATGATTGTGAGTATGACATATTCCCAAGTGCGGAGGACTTGGAAAATACAAAAATTCATCTGATTCTTAAAGTCGTTCTCGAAGTGGCGAGATTCGGGGAATGGAGAGCGGGCGCCTGCCGAGGGACAGGGTGGCGCGGGCCGGCGCAGAGAGAACACGGGCAGCGCCTTCGGGGTGACGGGCAGCGCTGTGAGGGGGTCGTGGCCGTGGCTGCAGGACTCGGCACGAGGGATGAACTCGCACACTCACACGTGCACACACGTGCACACACACATGCTCTCGTGTGCCCCACACAGATGCACGTGTGCACACATGCACGTGTGCATGCACGCAGACATACACGCAGCACCGTGCACACACATGCCCCACACAGACATGCACACACACAGGTGCACACATGGATTCAGGCCGTCTGGCCAACAAGCGCGCCGAAGCCGGTCGCCTGTGTGGCCTTGGACCATGGCCGTCTCAGTGTCACCCCCGGAGGGGCACACAGGACAGTCAGTGCTATTGCTGCAGCTCCCTGTGGGTCTGTAATTATTTCATGCGGGAAAGTTTTCAAAAGAACTGCAAAAGGAACGGCCTTGGCCTTTACCTGCCGCAGGAGCTGCCGGAGCAGTGGACAAACACCAAGAAGCTGGCCATCCAGGTGAAACAGAACGTGGCGCCCCTCCAGGCCAACGAGGTCAACATCCTGAGGCGGAAGTGCCAGCAGTTCGAGGTGCAGCGACCGGGGGCGGGGCGGGGGCGGGGC